CCCCCCCCCCAGCTATGGCTGCCTGTCTCATTTTACAGATGTAATTTGAGTATTTTTGTCCTCACCAGGCCCCTAATCGCTCCTTGTTAGTGTAAGAGAGTTCAAGGCAGGCCCCACTCCCCCTACTTGATCCCAAAGAACAAAGATCCAAATTGGCAGATTGTCACCGTAGGGGAAGGCATTCTTCAGCTACCCCTGCAGTCATTGTAGTAACACTGTGCTGGGCCTTGTGAACAATTTCCTCTGCTTGACAAGGAAAATAGCAGTGAGTGCTGAAAGTGAGATCACCTTCTCTGTCAAGACATCATCTTAAGATTCCAGGACCAGTTTCATGCATCAGGGACTGCATTGCACCTACAAAGTAACATGCATCCACTTTCAAATGCTAGTCAGGAGGTCTCTCAAGTCATGCTTGGCCAGACTTTCATACAGAAGTCCTTCACATCTTCATTTACAGAAAAGAGAAAATGCACTATCTAGGATCTCTAGGACAACTAGGATCTCCTAAGTTGTCATGTGTTCGTCAGCATTTACCCGACCCCTTAAAGGTTGGTGCTGTAAATAGTAAACATTTGCTTTGGAGTTCCTCTCCTTTTGACTTCTTGTAAGTAATCTTTTTTAATGCAATCAGTAGGCATTTCTTCTACCCTTTGCAGTTATACTGATATGAAACCATATTTTATGCTTTTAAATATTTTGCTTTAAACTATAGTCCTTCCTTGCCAGAGACATCTAATAGAACCTGGGTCAGTCTTCTAGTTTGGGAGCAATACCTCATAGACGGTATGTAGCTGGGAGAACAAATACCTCAGGTCACGTTCAGCAGCACCTCTGGCAAAGTCAAGAGCTGTACGATTTACTGGCTACAGGAAGAAACTTTCAGTGCTTTCTTAGAGGAGTGGTCAGGCATGAATCTTTGTGGCCTGGGTGATTGGTGGATCTTTGAAGTTTGGAAAATACCAGATATTACTAAAAAACCTAATTATTACTAAAATAAGTTTTTATACGGCACATAATTCTGTGCTACTTAATTTCTCTTAAATTTTCATGGATATAATATACATACAGTATGTTTAATATATGTGTAGAAGAAGCTAATGACCTTTTCAGTGAGCAAAATTATGATAGGTGCTGTTCTTTAGTAACATACTAAACACATATCCAGATATCCCCTAAATTAACAGGGATACTCTCTGTAAAAATAAGCCAAATCAGTTTTTCTAGTTGTATAATATATTCAGTAGTTCTTTGTTACTTTATATAAAGTATGCTCAAAGTATGCATTTGTATAGTGTGAATTTGGATTGTACGCTGCATATTGATATGGTATAATGCAGTTCTGTAATACCCTGAGTTAATTCTGTGCCTGCTAGGTCTAGAATCAGAAGCGATGTAGCCCTGCTAGCACAGCGCTGCACCCAGATAAATGAGTTTTGCTGAGAAGCAGGACTTCCAGTTCTGGAACTACCATGTGCAAAGCTAACTTGCATATCACTGCATGGTATTAGCCTTGCACCATATAAACCTAGTCTCAGATATCATGTGTAGGTAGTTTTGAGAGTGCCAGACAGCTGTTGGCAGTATTTCCTTCCATCCTACTAGCTATAGAGCATCAGTGTCAAGCTCGCCTTCTACCCTGGACCAGATCCGGAGCATGGGGCTCCTCACAAGCTGGATCCAGCCTGAGGAATGAGGCAGTTGCAGTGGTTACTCGAGGAACAGTGACAGCAGCCATGGTGGTGGCTACAATGCAGGCTGTGCCCACTGCAGTGGCAGTGGGGCCAGTTGTACTTCAGGCCAAGCAGATGCTTGCTGTGGTGAAGATACATAAGCAGTGGCAAGACGTGGCCACAGGGCAGCCAAGGACCATCTCTCACAGCCCTCTTGCTCACCTGCCCCCTTACTGCCAGTAGTCCTGTCCACTGGGGCCCAGCGCTTTGGATTCTCTGCCACGCCACACCCACTGCTGGCCACCCTGCCAAATTACCTGGGCCCACTGGTAGCCTGGTAGGCCAGATGTTTGACATCCCTACAATAGAATCCTGGTCTCTTTGTGCCGTATCATCTAGTATCTTTTAAGTGGTAGAAAAAATAGTTAATGATTTAAAAGTGATTTCCACTGTACATATTTATTAAAAGAAAATTTTGGTAAGTCTCTGTTTTGGTAAGTGTGTGTACATGTGTCTATGTAATGTACTTAATGAAAGTATTTGTCCAAATTCAGATGCACACAAAACTGCCCCACTTCAGGTGTGAGATTTTAAATTTAATTCTTTCAGTGTGAATCATTCCTGATTTATATTGATTTATTTTTACTCCGATGGGTACATTTTGTTGTGATAAATAAAACGGCCCCAAAATCTATTTCCAACTATCAATATAATCATTAATATTGCTACTTAAGGATTTCTTGTGTTATTCATTTAGTACAAAAGAAACTACTGTTTTGTTTGTTTTACACAGATTCATTTATAGTTTCCATATCTGAGTGACAGAGTGGAAGAGTTTTATATAATCCATTTCTCTCATTGCAAGTTTCTGTTTGTTTGTTTTTTAAATATGAAAATGATATTTTTTGGAATGTTAAAATAGGCGTCATAGTTTGATACCTCCCATTCCTCCTATATAAAACTACTTCTAGCCAAAGACTATAAACATTTTTTTTTAAAGTCAAGTACATTTTAGGGTACGATTAAGTTATAAATAAGTTTCTTTGCTTAACAGATGGAACTTGGTTCTAAGAAACACAGAGAATGCATTATTGTAAACATATTTCCTCCAATATTTTCTATTTTTAATACATATGACTTAATAGGACATTACTATGTATAAAGATGCAGTGCATACATATACTCATGAAACTGGCAGTATACATTTTGGATTCGTTGTATACAGGAGTGTTTGCATGTTGTATAAGACAATTATAACAATATAGTCTGTTCCCTGCAATGTGTTTTGTCATGCAGAGTTGGTACTGGTTCCCTCGTACATGTACAATTGTGCATCTGCTTTCTACACTTAAGTATGTACAGCAGTCCTGTGTGAAGCAGCTAGTATTTGCTTCGGATTCGGCCGACTCAGGGGACAGTGGTTCAATTCAGTGATTCGAATCACTGTCCCAAATTGATTCTGCCGAATCTGACTTGGAGATTTGGCCATTGCCCAATTGGCCGACTCTCCGAATCAAACAGGCCCCATCCCCCACTTGCTCTCCCAGCTCCGTCAATAGCTGACCTGCCCAGTCCCACTCTCCTGGCTCTTTAAAAAAAAAAGAAAAAAATCCCAGCTGCTGTCAAGCAGGGGGGTGATCCCCATTGCCCTGTGCTGTGGGGGGGGGGGGGCTCTGTCATGAGTCCCCATCCCCTGTCTGCTCTCCCAGGTCCTGGCTCTTTAAAAAAAAAGAAAAAAAAAAAAAAATAAAAA